ATGAACTCAGAATTTAAGGAGAACTTTCTTGTCATGTATCAATTCAATTAATTTTTTGTGTGTATGTATATATTCACATTCATGTTGTGATATGTATATGTAGGTCAGAGGACAATTTGGACAAAGTTGGTTTTTTTTTTTCAACTGTAAGGGTCCCAGGAGTCAAACTCAGGTTGTCAGGTTTAGCAGTATGCATCCTTACCTACTGAGAAATCTCAGTACCTTCCTTTATGTATCATTTAGATAGAGGTAATTTTAGTACATATGTGGAAATAAATGGTGTGCATTCTAAGAGGCAGGTATGGGTATTGTACTTAAGGTGATATAGTAATGGCAAAAGAGTAGCAGAATAGATCAGTTGAACTGAATATATTGTCCAGAAATAGATCCCCTTAGACTCTACATTATTTGATCTTCAACAAAAGAGCAAAGACTGACTATACAATAGGAAAATAATATTTTCAACAATTGCTCCTAGAATAACTGCATATTTTCCATAAAATACCCCCATAGAATAGCTGCAAAATGTGACTAAACACAGAACTTTCACTCTTTATAAACTCAAAATAGGTAACAAACATAAATATAAAGTATAAAATGGTATAAATTTTAGAAGATAGTATGAGAGAATCTCAAGGGTCTGAGGTTTGGTGATGGGTTTATAAGTGTAATATCGTAAAAAAAGAATTGATATTTCAGTTTTCTTTCAATTAAAATTTTATATTCCAGGACACTTTAGGTATACTAGCCTACTATTCAGAACATTGACAACCCCAGATGCTGCTGGGGCTACAGAGAAACAGATGCATTCTCTTTCATTTTCGTTTGAAATACAAAATGAGATCACCACTGTGATCCAGCAGGCACTACATTTGTATTTCTTCTAAAGGAGATGAAAAGTTAATACCCACACCAAAGCCTGCATGTGGGTATTTATAGCAACATTATTTATAATTTCTATGACTTAGAAATAACCAAAATATGTTTAAGTTGATAGTTGAATAAACTAGCATACTAGATAATGGAATATTATTCTCCACTAAAAATAAGTGAGCTGTCAAACTCACTCACAAACATCTTCATNATATATATTAGAGAAAACATAACTAGTGAAAGAAGACAGAATAGAATTCTGGGAGGAAGAAAGCAGAGTCAGAGAGATGCCATGAATCTCCTGCCCGAGACAGACATAGGTTAGAATCTTTCCTGGTAAGCCACGACCTTGTGGTGATATTCAGATTACTAGAAATGGATTAAATTAAGATGTGAGAGTTAGCCAATAAGAGGCTAGAGTTTATGGGCCAATCAGTAATTAAATTAGTATAATTTCTTTGTGGTTATTTAGGGGGTTAAGCTAGCAGATGGCAGGATGCAGCCCTCTCCTTCATTCCTCCTCATTGCTAATGGGTGTGGGTGGTAGCATCCTGTAATAAGTTATTGCATTTCTGTTTTGACCACACTCTGTACCCATGAGTCTTAGTGGTTGTATATTTATTAGATAATAGAGCTCAAGGCAGATAGTATAGTAATGTGGAACATTATATGATGCTCCATTTAAATGGGCCACATCCTGTGATCTCAAACTGCCACTGTTTATAAGTAATGGATTTACCCATTTACTATAGGCCATTTTAGGAAATAAACATCTAGACCTGAGACATCTGTAAAGACACCTTTCAGTTCGCTGGGCGGTGGTGGCGCACACCTTCAATCCCAGCCCTTGGGAAGCAGAGGCAGGCAGATCTCAGTGAGATCGAGGCCAGCCTGGTCTACAGAGCTAGTTCCAGGGCAGGCTCCAAAGCTACACAGAGAAACCCTGTATTAAAAAAAAAAAACAAAAACTTTCAGTTAAAAGCAGGATAACTCTTAGGAGCAAGATTTGTTCCTTTTTCAGCACTCTAAGTGAATTTCTATAGTAAGCATCTAAAACAGTCTAGGGTAAAGCAAACATCTTGAGCAAATTATTAATGAGTGCCTTCTGTTTATGTGTGTACTACTGGGATGTGCTGAGGGACATCAAGAAGATATATCAGGGGCTGGAGGTGTAGTACTCAGCAGTTAAAAACATTCTATTTCAGGGGATCAGCGTTCAGATCTCATTGCCCTCGTCATGTGGCTTTTGAGTACTTGTAACTCCAATTCCAAAGAATCTGGTGCCTCCTTGGCTTCTTTTGGAACCACCAATCAGGCATGCATATAAATAAAATAAAATAAGTATTTTTTAAAACGGCAAGAGGAAATGCTAGACACAGTCTTGACTCTGCGGGAATTAATAGAACAACTGACAAAATCAACACATTTTGTAAAGGACCCCTCATATTTTCATTGATCAAGATCGGCATCAGGAATAAGTTTCAGTCTGAATTGCCTCTGAGGCAAACCCTAAGGAGCTGAGGCATGCATTTGAAGGGAATGTCTAACAAGCATTGAAGGGAATGTGTAATGAGAGAAAACTGAGGGATGGAAAGGGATGAGATAAAAATCACAGTTGGTGATTAGAAGTTAACCTTATGGGCATACACTGGGAAATAGCATAGAATATATTCTTCACACTTACTCCATTTAACAGGTTACTGTAGCTGGAACTGAGTTATTGAGGGGGTCACCCATGCACTTTAATTCCCTAGTGCTTCAGCCTAACAGGAATATGTTTATAGCAGTCCTCTGTGAGTCTGGAAAAAGTCCTCAGGCAGTCTCAGATACCGACAGGTGGAAGTTAGCTTGCATATGTAATACAGAGGAATTCAAGGCCTGTGGGTGGGAGAGAGCAGAACATTGGCCATACGATTCCTGGTGGAGGTGAGGTTTGACTGTGCTCTTTCTCTTCTCTCTTCAGGCATCATCATGTCCTTGTCCCTGTTGTCCATTGTATATGGAGCCTTGCGTTGCAACATCTTAGCCATCAAAATCAAGTACGATGAGTACGAGGTCAAAGTCAAACCCCTGGCCTATGTCTGTATCTTCCTTTGGAGAAGCTTTGAGATTGCCACTCGGGTCATTGTCCTGGTCCTCTTTACCTCTGTCCTGAAGATCTGGGTGGTGCCCGTCATACTTGTCAACTTCTTCAGTTTCTTCTTATATCCCTGGGTCCTCTTCTGGTGCAGTGGCTCCCCGTTCCCCGAGAACATTGAGAAGGCCCTGAGTAGAGTGGGTACCACCATTGTACTGTGTTTCCTCACTTTTCTCTACGCTGGTATCAACATGTTCTGCTGGTCAGCTGTACAGCTCAAGATCGACAGTCCTGACCTCATCAGCAAATCCCAGAATTGGTACCGACTGCTGATTTACTACATGATGAGATTCATTGAGAATTCTGTCCTCCTGCTCCTGTGGTATTTTTTCAAAACTGACATATACATGTATGTTTGTGCGCCTCTGCTGATTCTGCAGCTACTCATTGCATACTGCACAGGCATTCTGTTCATGCTTGTGTTCTATCAGTTTTTTCACCCTTGCAAAAAGCTCTTCTCTTCCAGTGTTTCTGAAAGCTTTAGGTCATGTCTCAGGTGTGTCTGCTGGTCCTGTGTGAGGAGAAAATCCTCCGAACCAGTAGTAAGTGTAGACACGGACTTAAAGTCATCCACAGATCAAGGTCAAGATGAAGGTCAAGATGAAGATCAAGGTCAAGATGTAACACCTTCTACCAGTAGACTAAGTCCTGAGACCACTGAGATGTGGAGTGCTGTTGATCTGTACTCTGCTTAATGGAACCTGAAGTGTCTTACAAGAAAGGGAGATTGTGTTTTGGGTTAATAACTATTCTTCATACAAGGAATGAGCCCCACACAGGGGATAAGGCAGGGAATTAGCTGCCAATTCCTTGTGAGCCTTTTATAGAGCTCTTTGATTCGAGGTAGCTATGGAACGCACTGGGGAAGCCTACTTACCCCACAGTTTGTTTCACAGTTGACTCTGTTACATTCTTGCAGGCCTTACTGGCCATTTCATTGACACAGTATACCTGAAGTTTCAGTTGAGCTGGTCATATTCATCGGATATAATAAAGAGAAAGGCTCCTTTTCTACAATGTTGTCTCAGTAGCCTGACCCTTTACTAATACTGAATATAGCTTTATACAAAAGTCACCGTGATAGTCATAATAGGTTACTAGGGATTTTCAACCTCATTCCTGTCATAACTTACAGGGAGAGCTGTTTTAGTTTGTTTTATCAGTGTATTCCATTTTCACCTCATTAAGACTTTTTGTACATAACCAGCTGAAGCCACTCTGGCATGCCTAGATTTGGGGACTTTATTCCCTATGATCCATTGGTACAGTTATTTAGGAAAGCTGAGTTTCATTCCACATGTTGAAGAAATTAGGGATCAGGATGGACTGGGACAGTTATTAGAACATCAAAAATGATAGAAGTTTATACAAATAGAACTGTTAACTTCTCCAAATGTCTGAAGATATTCATTGGTTAGAAGGTAGGCTCAGTTCTCCTCATAAGTCAGTCTTGTCTATAATTCTGGGAAATTTCTAGTAGAATTTGCTAAGATTAATATTTTAAGAAAGAATAAAATAATAGTTTTCATTCCTATTGCCCCTTTCCTCGTCTGCCAGGAAATTTTTAACAAGACTTACCTCAGTTCACCTGTTGTTTCTAGAAAGCCCCATAGAAGTCTCTTCCCCAGTTCTAGTATATAGGATGTTTTAGTTTTCATGAGTTGAAGAGAAAGGAATGTTTTCCTCACTACCACCCGTAGTTATAAGAAGGAGTGAGATAAGCGGAAGACCTTCTTCAGGAAATGCATTTTGACTTGACATCATTATCAGTTAATTTTAATAAGATCTTCATTTTCTCTTGTGTGTGATTTCTCTTTAATCTGCAGCTGTTTGTTTCTGTTTTAAGAGTTGGGTGAATATTGTCACTAATATTCTGACAATGCCTATAAGCAGTGCTGTTATTTGTACCACTAAAATTTACAGTGGAATGTCTAGAAAGACATGGTTATAAAGTTTACACCAATTTAAAATGAGAGTTGTTGCAAAATTTAAGAATTTTTTAAAGATATCTTCATTTATGGATTCTGTGAGACAGAGCAGACATTTACTTTTCTGACCACATTTATCTGTCTATCATACTAGTAATAATTTGCTTTTCAACTCTTTATCACATTGATGAATAATTTCATAAACATGAAAATTAATTTGGTAAATAAATTTTACTATGCTAGAGGATTCATAAAACAGTAAATATTCTTTGGCATGTCATTCACACTGTAATATTTATACCATTTTATATGCATATATATCATTAAGGTCCTACACTGTAAAACATTCATTTACTTTCATGAAGTATATTTTCTCGTTTGTAATTCTCATGGTATTTATAGTTTAAGTCTATGAGAATCCACAGGCAGTACATCCATTTTGACTACTTTTAAGATATAAAAAGGAAACTTAAGATTGTCTGTTCTCTGTTAACCCATGTGCCACTTCTCCTGTCTTTAATAGGACTAGATAAAGTTAGCATATATCATCAAAATGATACTTTATAGAACAGATATTTCTCTGTGCTTTGTACTTTTCATATTCAGAGGTACAAAACTGTAATACAGGGGAAATTGCCTTTGAAAATATATAACAACTACAGGTAAACCAAAGCTAAGGTGGTAAAGCACACTTGTTTTGGTTATTTCATAATTTAAGGTGTTGAAAATGACAAGAGAGTAGAAGACTGCTCCTAAGCATTTCCAAATGCTTTTTGTCAAATTGCTTCGTTATGTTTCCCGATGCCACATGGCTTCCCTCTTGAATGTGAAAGAGCACCTTCCTTGAAGATCCACAGTGACGGGTGGGAGAGACGCTGCTACCCTTTCCCAATTTTAGGTTATGCCTTGTGACCAAGGCTCGAGTCGGCCACCAGCTTGTCACTTTCTAGGAGGTTCGGAGTTAGACAAGGGTGAGGACACTTGTGTTTTTCCAGCCTGGTTTGGAAACATGACTTAAAATATTCTTAATTTTAAAATATATTATAAGCCCCTTTACTTTAGACAGTTGGTAAGCATCTTGAATGACCTCAAACAAAACTAACAGTGATAAACTGTCACTGAAGACCCAGCTCAAGCTTTATAAAGAATGATTTTTCTTTTTTAGCAAATTAGATATCATTTCAGTCTCTTGGCATATAGGCCTTTTCCTACTACAGTCCCAAGTTTACTTAATTACTCTATGCCTCAGTTTCCTCCCTCACCAGATTAAGATGATATACTTGTCCAACTTACCTCACTAACCTGTTGGAAAGATTTTATTAAGCAATAGATACAAAAATATTTTTTAAATAATTTCAAAATACCTTTAAAGAATTATTATATTCAAGTCAATAAACAGATTATTGTTTGTGTTCTGTTTTCTTATTTACTGTCTGAACTGAAGTAAGTAGTTTCATCCACGTCAGTGTTTTGAGTGAACATATAGGTCATTGTTCTTCTTTGTAACTGCCCTCTCTTACCATCAGTTGATTACAAAATTTAGTGCTCAGAGTGTGTGAAATGGCTCAGCAGGGAAAGGTACTTGCCACTAAACCCAACACCCTGAGTTCCATCCTGGGGACCTACATGGTGCAAGGAGAGAAACAATTTTCACAGGTTGTCTGATTTCCACAAGCACACCATGGCATTCACACACAGGTTCTCTGTCTCTCTCTCTCCCCCCACCCCTGCCTCTCTCTCACACACACAATTAATATATGCAATGAGTATTTTAAAAATCGCCCAAAGTCCTTAGTACTTGGCCTTCAAAAGGGGTCATGACCTACAGGCTGAGAATCACTGTTCTACAGCAAAACTGAAAGAATTTGTTCTTTATTCAGTGTTACTGTTAGAGACTCTCCAGCCTATAGGCATGTGTCACTCACCCAAGTATTCAGTTCCATAGTAAGAATACATCAGGGAGAACGGCTTTCTCTCCTTCAGGGCGTACTGCTTCCCAGAGTCCAAAATTGCCTGGCATATTGATATAATTTGTGCTGGAGTCAATACCTGGATAAAGAAAAATCAAAAAGTCAAAGTCAAAGCAGGACTTCTCTCTCTGGCCCCTCAAACATTAAATCAGAGGGCTTCAAAAGGTGATCCTGTATGTAAAAATTTAGCCAAACTTCCTTCCTATTTTGCAGCTTGTTCTCCTTCTTTTGATTCAAGTTTATCTACCCTCGTCAGAACATTTAAAACAGACACTTTAGCCTTGATCAGTTGTTATAAAATACAAAGACCACCATATACATGTTCTATCATTAATCCTTGTCATGGGGACAAGAATTTCCTCAGGAAAGAACAAACGCTGATGCTAATGGATTGTGCGTCACAAAGCCACGACTCCTGCCACAACGTAAGCTACATACAGGTCTGTTCCAGACATCAGGCCTTTACTTGGTGGCATTTAGGCTGTGCATTTAAAGCCATGTCTCTACATCAAGCCACCGAGCAACAAATTTAGAGCATCCACTTGCGTTCCCAGAATGAAAGCAACGTCCAGTTGTGCCAAGGCAAAAATCACTTAATCACTAAAATGATTCCGAACTGAGAAAGGCTGAAATCCAATGGATCTGAGAAACTGCTTCTAGTGGCAAGTAAGTTTTTTGTCTTGATAGTATATTTCATAAAGATTGTACAGTACAACTTAAATGGCTTATTGAAATCATTAATTAAATGTGAAGGTAATCTGTTCAATGTTGTAAATGGGAAAATAAGCATTAGCATCGATTGTCTTGACAACACAGCATTTCCTTGAGATCAATCTTACAACATTAATATGGTCGTATGTGCCAGTACATCTCAGCCAATAGATTGTGGATATGAACTTTTGTGGAGTGCTTCTCTGAGTCACTGGCTCAAATATTGTTTATGTTTCCTCATATAATAAATTAATTTTTTAAAAAAGTTCTTGCATTTTATTTCTTGTATAGTCCTCAAGTGACTTAAAATTTAAGGCCCATTTGAAAGACAAATTTGAAAATGGTTTGTTATGATTATATATTTTAATGTAAGATGGAAATTCCTGCCATAGCATGAGAAGTTTAAGAATGCTAACATTGAGCCTTACAATATAGCAGCTGTTCATGAAAACACTGCTTTTTGTGTATGAATTTGATCAATTTTTTGAAGCCATGATGCTGGGTACTGCTACTAAGATTCTGCTAAATTGTCTGGATTCTGGTGGTGACATAATTGTTCTTTCTGTTGTTGATTGTGTTCGTACACTGGCATTTAGACATCTGGATTTGGGAGGATTATAAGTTTATTATGTTTATTCCTGTGTTTGTTTTTGTTGAATGGGTATTTTTTTCTCTTGGTTTCTGTTTTTTCTATGGTTTTCTGGTCCAAGTGGCCAAGGTTTCTCATGAGTGATGAGTCTTCAGGTCCAGTAGGGTATCTCTGGTGGGGTTTTGGGGGCCTTGGGTTCCTTGATCTGGTCTGGCCTTCAGTAAAGCCAAAGTCTTCTTGGGTTTCTAGATCTGGCCTGGCTTGAGTTTTCTTCTTGTTGTGATCTAGCTGCCCTCTCTCCCCCTGACTGACAGGGTAACTTCCTTGTGGTCTGTAATTGACAAGGATGTTTGTGTTCTTTCTGGCATGTGGTTTTCCACAGAAGCAATAGAGGTATAAAAGACTTTAGCTCAGGAAAAAATAAAGGTTGTTGTTCTTTTACCTGAGAAGAAGCCTCTGTGTCTCAATCCCAGCACCCCTCCAGTCTCAGCATCCAGGCAGTGCTGGTGCAATATCTTCTGTAGTGCCTATGACCAACCTGGCTTCTGGAAAAGCTCTTCAGACTTGTGTAGACTGTTCCTGAGCCTAGGGAGTCTGCTGGAGTTGTGCGAAAGTGCTAGTTGTGGGGAGGATGATGAGGTGGGAAGGGTTGGGCAGTAGTGTGGTTCTTGAGGGAGCAAAATCCAGGGGTGGTAGTGGCAGTCCAGCTGGCAGGGGGGATCATTCACTTATTCCTCAACTAGTGAGGTCTATAACAGAGCAGTAAGTGTCTGCTGGAGTTGGGGGCAGAGCTCAGCAGTGATGCTGGTGCCGAGATGGGAGGAGGCGGGCCATTGGATGCATCCTGGTAATAGAGAATCTGGTGATTGGAGCAGCTCATTTCAGAGGCAGCTCACTCACCTGTTCTTCTAACTGGTGTGGACCATATCTGTACCTATGGAGTCTGCTGGAATTATTGGGAATTACTGGCCAAGGAGAAGATGATGAGATGGGAGGGGTTGGGCTATGCTGTGGTTCTTGGGATGCATAATCTAGGGTGGGGTGGCAGTAGTTGGCAGGTGGTTCCTCACCTACTCATCAACAGGTGAGGGCTGAACCAGAGCAGTGGGGCTGGACATAAGGGCCAGCAGTGATGCTGGTGCTGAGATGGGAGGGACAGTCCACAAAACAGGAAGGTTACTCTGAGTTCTGGGTTCTGGCTGGTATGGTCTACTTTTCATTGGCAGAAGTTTTCTGGGATTGGGGGCAGGGTTCAGTAATAGTGGGGCCCTAGATGAGTTGTGATGGTGTGGGCCTGGGGAAGGTAGGAAGGTAAAGAGTTCAGGGAAGGGTATAGCTTACTAACCTAGTCTTGCTGGTGTGGTCTGGGCCTGTTTGGCAGAAGTCTTCTGGGGTTGGGGAAAGACCTAGCAGAGGGTCCAGGGATGAGATGGGATGGCATGGGCCTGGGGAAGGGTCATGACATTATGAATTTTACAGGCAATTGGATGCAACTAGAAAAAAATATCACACTGAGTGAGTTAACACAGACCTAAAAAGACAAATATGGCATTATGTATTTACTTACAAGTGAGTATTAACAGTTAATGAAAATCAAGCTACAATCCACAGACCCTGAGAGGTCAGGTAAAGAGGAGGACTCCAGAGGAAGGGGACATAGAATAAATTTTGCAGGTGGACTGGAGGAGGATAGGGATAAAGGGGGAAGGATCAGGTGGGAAGAAAGGATGAAGGAGGAGAATGTGGGTAAAAACTACTGGGACTGGGAGAGCATTGGGCATGTGTGGAGGCATAGTGCAGTGGAAACTTCCTGGAATTTATGAGTGTGACCCTAGTGAGGACTCCTAGTAATGGAGGATATGGAGTCTGAACTGGCCTTCTTTTGTAGCTAGGCATGGCTTCCAGTGTTGGGACTGGGTTACATTCCTTTGAGCTGCTGGCCAAAAGGGCCCTGTGAAGATCCCTAAAAAACCAGGCTGGTGTTAGGCCATAAGGACACTCTCTGAAAACTGAAAGTTGGGCCCCATTTATAAGGACAACATCTACTATGTTTACTGACTGTAGAAAGTTCGAGCTTGTGTGGGCATGGAGAATTCACCCCTCTGTTCTGGTCCTTTTGGTGTGGAAAGGTAGGTGCTCTGCAGGATATGGAAAGAGAAACATGGACATCAATCCAGCTGCAAATCTTCCACCTATAATCTGTCCTTCTAGCAATGTGCACTGGGGCAATGGTGGCAATGGTGGCAATGTGCACTGGGGCAATGTTGGCACAGAACATGTTGGGGTGGCCAAGTAAGTCTAACTTGAGGCCCAAGCCATGAGAGGGAGCCCATGCCCTGCACTGCTTTGATGACAGCTTCAGATATGGAAGCTGGATAGACCAGAGACCCAGGGTAGAACCAAACACAGCTGTTTGAAAACAAAACAACAATCAATGAGATGATTCCTAATGATATATTCTGCTATACTCATGGACTGGTGCCTTGTCCAGTCATCATAGAGGAGGCTTCCTTTGGCAGCAGATGGGAACTGAGAAAGAGAGAGACAGCGACAGAGAGAGAGAGACAGAGAGAGAGAGACAGAGAGAGAGAGAGAGAGACAGAGACAGAGAGAGAGAGACAGAGAGAGAGAGACAGAGAGGGAGAGTAAATTGGAGGTCTCTGTTGGGTCCCTCCCCTCAGAGACTGGGGAACATGGCAGAAGAGGGAAAGAAAAGATGGCATGAGTCAGAGAGGATGGAAGAAAACAGGAGAACATGGTCCACCAAATCAACTAAGCAGCACTCCTATGGGCTCACAGAGACTAAAGTAGCAAGTATGGGGCCTGCATGAGTCTGCACCAGGTCCTCTGCATAAATATTGTACCTGTTAGCTTGGTGGTTTTGTAGGACTTCTAAAAGTGGGATGGGGTGTGTATCTGACTCACCTGCTCTTGAGATGCTTCTCCTCCTACTGGGTTGCCTTGACCAGCCTTGATAGGAGGGTTTGTGCCTAGTCCTATTGTAACTTGTTTTGTCATCTTTGGTTGATAGCCCTGGGACAGCTGCCCTTTTCTGAAGGGAAGCAGAGGAGGAGTGGATCTGGGAAAGAAGGAAGCTGTGGAGGGGGAGCTGGGAGGAGTGAGAGGAGGGTACACTGTGGGCGGAATACATTGTATTAGAGGAGAATCTCTTTTCAATAAAATTTAAAAAGAAATAGCATGTCTGACAATAGAATTATGAAAGCTGCGATAGATATGTGAATGTGTAAGACTCTTAGCTCCTGCCTGATATTTTATATTTTCAATTTTTTTGAGACAGGGTCTCTCTATGGCTCTCATGAAACTCTTTGTGTAGACCACCATACCCAGAACATGTACAATTGTGAAATTATATTTGGTTAAGATAAAGGTATATGTAATACTCTTTAAAGCTACTGTTAAAATAACAAAGCAATGTCTGATAGCTAAGAATGAATAAATCTACAAAGACTTAAATCATTAATAGATCCCACAACCCAAGAGAAAGCAGAATAAAAGAGCACAAAACCAAAAACCAACTAGATGAATAAAAAATAAAAAGAAAATAGATAGAATTAGACCTAACCAGAGAAATCATAACATCAAATATGGACCCTATGGTAGATCTAGTGCTAGTTTTTGGGAAAGTCTCTAGACAGATCTCTAGAATGACTGTATCTTATCGGATCACCATAGCTTAAAGTTAGAATTCAACAGCAACACTAATTTCAGAAAGCCCACAAACACATAGAAATTGAACAATGCTCATTTGAATCACCAATGGGTCAAGAAGAAATAAAGAAAATAAAGACTTCCTAAAATTCAATGAAAAGTACTGTACAACATACTCAAATTTATGGGACAAAATGAAAGCAGTGTTAAGAGGAAAGTTTATAGTACTAAATGTCTACATAAATAATATGGTAAAACCCCACACTAGCGAGTTTACCGGCTACCTGAAAGCTCTAGAACAAAAAAAAAAGCAAACTCACCCAGGAGTGCTAGATGACAGGAAATAATCAAATTGAGAGCTAAAATCAACAAAATAGAAACAAAATAATACAAAGAATCAGTGAGACAAAATGTTGGTTCTTTGAGAAAATAAAAAAAAAAATAGACAAACCTTTATCCAAACTCACCAAAAGGCAGAGAGAGAGAATATCCAAATTAACAAAATCAGAAATGAAAAGGGGGGCATAACAATAGACACAGAGGAAATCCAGAGAATTGTCAGGCCATACTTCAAAAATCTGTACTCCACAAAATTGGAAAAGTTAAAGGAAATGGACAATTTTCTGGATAAATATCACTTGCCAAAATTAAATAAAGACCAGATAAGCAAATTAAACAGGCCTATAACTGCTGAAGAAATAGAAACAGTTATCAAAAGTTTCCCAACCAAAAAAAAAAAAAAAGAGGAGAGAGAAGGAAGGGAAGGGAACAGCAAAAATGTACAGCTCAATGAAAACAATAAAAAAGAAAGGAAAAAATTAAAGGCTTTCAGTATCTTATAAAATATAGGATTGTCATGTAAGATAACAAAGCAAATCCAACTTCATGTATTTAAAAGCAGAACCTGCTTAAGAATATAAGGATGTAAATGATATTTAAACACCAATCAAAACAAAATTTGAAATTTTTCATTAGTCCCAAATTAAATTTATCTTGGATTCACAATTATTTTGTGGTATTGAAATGGTTAATTCAAGAGCATATAATCCAAAATGTTTTCTCAGCAGATCTTCAAAATATATTTACTAAAAGTTACAAACCAAAGCCCTCAAATAGGAGAAATTCATGATTATCACTAGGAATTTCAATACCATACTGTCTCAAAAAGCCGCCAAATTAGTATAGGCTTTTAAGATTTGAACAGCACAATGCAGTTGAAGTAACCGACATTTATAGAACACGCTGTCTAACATAGCAAGAACACGTATTCTTCTCAAGTACCCAGACAGCAGCCACGATAGTCTATATCTGAGCCCTTCAGATAACTCACAAGTAGTTTGTAGTGTTCTTGTTGTACAAAGAAAGTTCTTTGATCACAATGGAATTCCATTAGTGAGACATCTCCAGCGTCCAGCAACAGGAAAACAATTAAAACAAGAAATGTACTTTGAGAAAGAATTCACTTGTGTTCTGAAACAGCACAGAGGCCAAAGTAGAAACTGAAAGGAAAGCATTCTCAATGGGTTCAGAATAAAACCACAACTTAAAGTCAAAGGAAGCAGGTAGGAGGGAATATTAGTAAAATTGGCATAAAACATTGAGAAAAGAGCAGAACGAACAACAGGGGAAGGCAATAAAA